ATTGGATTCTGTGTCATTTTTACTGCAGAAAGGCTGTCACAGTAAATGGTGTGTGGTTGTTGTGGTTGAACAGGAAGCTGTGTGAACAGAGCTGTCATCCACTGGAGTTCTTGAGCTGTGTCTGCTAATGCTCTGTACTCGGCCTCGGCAGAAGATCTTGAAATTGTTTGCTGCTTCTTAGAACGCCAGCTGATGAGGGAATTACCTAGAAAAACACAGAACCCTGTTACTGATCTGCGAGTATCTGGGCAACCAGCCCAATCAGAATCTGAAAAAGCAGTTAAACGAAGGGAAGAGTTGGAAGGAAAGAACAATCCACGCGCAGGAGTGGTTTTGAGATAACGCAACAGTCTGTGAGTGGCCTGTTCATGGACTGTGGTTGGAGAGTCAACAAATTGACTGAGCTGATTAACAGTGTAGCAAATATCAGGGCGTGTAGTGCAGAGATACTGAAAACGACCAATCAGAGTTCTGTAACTGCTATGATCTGTTTCATTTAGTGGAGTTCCATCTTTAGCAGATAAATGTGTACCAGGGGTAGATGGAGTAGTAGTTGGTTTGGAAGCTAGGAACCCTGTATCAGATAATAAATCTAGTGTGTATTTCCTTTGACACAAATGAATACCACTTTCTGATCTGGAAACTTCCATACCAAGGAAGTATTTAAGTGGCCCAAGGTCTTTGATTGTAAAAGCAAGATCTAACTGATGTTTGACATGTTTAATTTCTGTCATGTCATTTCCAGTTAAGATAATATCATCAACATAAACAAGAAGGGCAGTAAATGATTTATTGTTGTGTTTAGTAAACAAAGAGTAGTCACAGTGGGATTTCTGATAACCTAAACCCTCTAATGTGGCTGCAAGTTTAGCAAACCATTGGCGGCTAGCTTGCTTGAGGCCATAAAGGGATTTAGTTAGTTTACACACTTTGTTTTTGTCAGCAGGAGCTACTGGAAGGCCAGGTGGCAGTTTCATGTACACCTCTTCATTGAGGTCGCCATGAAGAAATGCTGTGTTTACATCTAGTTGTTCTAGATGCCATTTGTGAATGGCTGCAAGGCTAAAAGAATCCTAACAGTTGTCATTTTGACTACAGGAGAGAAAGTATCCAAATAGTCAACTCCAGGTGTTTGTGTGTAGCCTTTGGCTACTAACCTGGCTTTATATTTGTCTATTGAACCATCCTGTTTGAATTTCAAACGAAAAACCCACTTGTTTCCAATGATTGGAACATTGGGAGGAGGATCTACAAGGACCCATGTTTTGGTTTTTTCCAAGGAAGCAAACTCAGAGTTGACAGCTTTCAACCATTCAGATGACTGGGCAGCCTCTTTGTAGGTTCTAGGTTCCCTGACTTGTGAAATTGCTAAAGCAAATTTCTTGTGGGAAGTGCTTAGAGAGCTATAAGATAACATGGCCTGTATTGGATACCTAGTTTTAGAGAACAAGGTTGCTTGACTAGCCAGATTACATTTATAATCATTGTATTTAACTGGCTTAGTAATTTGTCTACTGGATCTCCTTAATGGAGGTAGATCAGCAGGAATTGGAAGATGAGAAACAGGAATTTGATTTGAGGGAATTGTTTCAGGACCTGAATGAGACATAGATGGTGAAGGATGAATGACAGGTTGAGACTCAGTGAGGAACTCAGTGTGAGCCTTTTCGAACTCTAAATCAGAAGAAACAGGTGGAAAGACAGGCAATGGAAATGTATGATCTGTAATCTGATTTGGAGTTTGAAATGGAAAGATGGTTTCATGAAATGAAACATCTCTGGAAATGAGAATATTATGATTTTTGAGGCTGTATAGTCTAAAACCTTTAGTTCCATGAGGATGACCAAGGAAAATACATGGTTGAGCTCTAGGATCAAGTTTATGTCTAGTAGCCTGAATAGTAGCTGCATAAGTGAGGCAGCCAAAGACTCTGAGATGAGCTAAACTTGGTGGCTCACCATGTAATTTTTCATATGGAGTAAGATTCTGAATAAGAGTAGATGGAGTTCTGTTTATGAGATGGACTGCATGCATTGCAGCAAAATTCCAGAACTGAGCAGGTAAAGAAGCCTGAAAAAGTAGAGCACGAGTAACAGCCAAGATGTGCTGATGTTTTCTCTCGACTATACCATTTTGTTGAGAGGTATAGACACAAGTGGTTTGGTGAATGACACCTTTGGAAGAATAGAAGTCTGGAATGTGGAATTCAAGACCATTATCAGTACGAATTGCTTTTATTTTAGCCTTAAACTGTGTTTCTATAAATGCAAAGAAGTTAATAAGTGTTGGTCGAGCTTCTGATTTATGTTTCATGGTGAAAATCCATGTATGACGAGAGTAATCGTCTACAATGGTTAGGAAATAAGCATGGCCTTGAAAAGACAGAACAGGAGCATTACCCCATATATCCACATGGATTAGATCAAAAGGAGCAGAAGTTTGACTTGAACTATTAGCAAAAGGAAGACGTTTTTGCTTGGCCATAGGGCACACAGTACAATGGAAACCAGATGGTGAAGAAATGGTACTGTCAATGGATCGAAATTGAGAAAGTTTACAGTGGGGCACATGGCCAAGGCGATAATGCCAGATATCTATACTAGGCTGAGAAGAAGAATATGCAATTCTGGAGGGATAGGCAGGTTTTGTGTTGAGCTGGAGATTATGTTGTAACTGTTTGGTCTGAGATGGAAGATGAAGAAGGTAAAGACCATCGACCAAACTAGCTGTTCCAATCATTGTCAAACTGGGGTAAGCCTGTATGAAGCACAATGAGTAGTGAAACCATAAGCAGATTGTTGTACTTCTGACTAGTTTACTCACAGAAACCAGATTGAAACTAAAGGATGGAACTAGCAGAACATCAGTCAAAGTAAGATGTTCTGAGTATTGAACAACTCCTATGGCAGTCACAGCTACTTTACTACCATTAGGCATATGAACAAACACATCAGAAACAGGTTTAGACTGTAAAAAATGAGCAGGAGAACAAATGATATGATCTGTTGCACCTGTGTCCAATATCCATTTATTCTGAATATGGCAATTAACAGTAGAAGCATAGTGAAATGTACCTGTTGAGTCAGGCACCTCAAAGGCATGAGAAGCAACTGAGTTAGCTCTGCTTAAAGTATTGTGCTGACCAGAACCCTCACTTTCATTGGAGACTGAATAGTGAGAAGGGTTATTGACTTTGTAAGCATCAGAAAAAGCAGCTGGAGCTGGAACATAATGCTGCTGAACAGAGAACTGATTCTGTGGAGGAGGAAACTGGTTCTGAGAAGGAGCTTGGGTGCTTTGCTGAGCTTGAGGATTCATAAAGTGTAACATCTTCTGGTACTATTGCTGAAAACTCTGCCAATCGGCTTGATTAATCATGACAGGACCATTAGAGGAAGATGCTATGTCAGCAGAGACACTATTTGCTTGCCTAGAGTTCTGCTGCCTCTTCTTGGACTGATAACCTGGTGGATAGCCGTTCTTTTTGTAGCACACATCCTCTGTATGCCCAGTGTAGCCACAGAATGTGCAAACAGGCTTTTTCCCTTGTTTCTTGAACCCCTGACCAGTACCCTGAACCCCTAAGTGAGACCCTGATGCCTTGGTGAAGAAGGCCATACTGTCTGAAGCAGGGTTAGGAGTAGGTTGTGGCTTAGGCAACAGACCATTCTCTCTTTCGTGTTGTACCATCATGGCAAACACTTTGTTAATGGGAGGCAATGGCTCTAAGAGCATAACTGTGGATCTAGGGCCATTAAAGTTGTCATTCAGATTGCGCAAGAATCGAATCACCTTATCATTCATGTAGTCTTTTCTCAAAGAAGCTAGAACGCAATGACAGGTAACGCCGCAATCACAGTCAGGAATGAAACGATAGTTGGCTAACTGATCCCACAAAGCTCTTTGCTTAGAATAGTACTGAGAGACGCTCATTGTACCTTGTTTGAGGTTGAAGATGGCCTCTTGTAGATCAGCGATACGGAAAGAATCGCCCTGTGAAAACTGCTCACGGAGCTCAGTCCAAGCACCAATGGCGGTGGTGACGTACAGGATGCTTTCAGCGATGGTAGGATTGACCGAGCGCTGAATCCAGCTGAGGAGTAACTTGTTGTTCCGATTCCAAGGCTCGAGCAGAGGAGAACCGTCGACTGGCTGCGGGATTTTGCCATTGAGAAACCCTAACTTGTTCTTGCCATCGATTACCAGAACCATCGATCTTTCCCAGCTAGAGAAGTTGTTCTCATTGAGCGGCTGGGAAACGAGGCATTGACCCCAATTTTCCGATGGATGGATGAAGAATGGCGACGCCGGATCGGAAATCGGGATGCCGTTGTAAAGAATCACGCCAGAATTGTTCTGACGACCTCCAGTGTGAGGATTTGGATTCGCGGCATCGTCGCCGGAAGAGAAAGTCTCGTGAATCGCCATAGGAGGACGATGAACTCAAGAACAGAAGAATGAGGAAGAAGGAGAAGACGCGGAAGCGAGAGAGAGAGACGAAGATCGGCTCAGTAATGCTCTGATACCATGTCAGATTTCTGATTAATTCCTCTTTTCTTGATTGAAAGAATGAAAAACAAACTTACATTGTTCAGCCAGAGTAGCTGACTTTTATACTATTCCTACATAGCAGACGAATTAGTTACAAGTCTCTAACTAACCTAGCTAAATTACATAATGGTACCTAACCTATTTACATTCTATCTATATAAGTTTCTACCTATTACAAATTGATACATACTATCTCTAATAAATTCCAATACGTACAAAGCGTGGTAAACTAAGAGTCGCCATTAACTCTCTGATCACTACCCAGATTCAAATACTTGGTAGCCATATACGGGAATGTGATATGCGGGGGAACTGGAAAGGCGCCAATCAACAAAGAATATTATATTAACCCCAACGTTTATTTAAATACACCTCCACACGCACAGTCTAGAACAACCATTACTCATTCACTCTCTCTGTATCAACTTCCATTCATCATCAACAACAAATGGCGCACACAAAGATAAGCGGCGAAGTGATTGGAATCGACCTCGGCACCACCTACTCCTGCGTCGCCGTCGCCCGAAAGGGCCGTAACGTCGAAATCATAGCCAATGACCAAGGCAACCGTACTACCCCTTCCTACGTCGCCTTCTCCCCCGCCTCCGCGGGCTCCGAGCGCCTCATCGGCGAAGCTGCCAAAAACCAGGCTACTCTCAACCCCGGCCGTACCATCTTCGACGTCAAACGTGTCGTTTAGGGAAGCCTTCAGGCGGATTTCATTAATTGGAAAATGAATTGTTACATTGTTCATTACAATATCACCTATATATATCAACTACAAATTACCTATACAGTACTCACAGTTTACATATTTACAATAACAGCTATAAACTAATTAATAACTACATCTAGGTCCTCGTCGTTTCCTCCTTGGACAACTCCCCCCCGCAAGCTGGTGCGTAGATATCAAGACGACCCAGCTTGACCTGCAACTGCTGAAAAATATGGACTGGAAGCGACTTTGTAAACATGTCAGCAAGCTGGTTAGCAGAGGAGACATGTAATACTTTAATCACACCATCGAGAATCCTATCCCTAATAACATGACAGTCAATTTCTATATGTTTTGTACGTTCATGATTGACTGGATTATCAGCAAGTTTGATAGCAGACATGCTATCACAGTATATGGGAGTAGGAGAAGAGAAACAGATATGCAAATCATTCAAAACATATCTGAGCCATAAGATTTCACAAGTCAAACTAGCCATTGCTCTATATTCAGCTTCGGCTGAAGAACGTGAAACAGTCTTCTGTTTCTTAGAGCGCCAACTAATTAATGAATTCCCTAACAATACACAAAAACCTGTAGTAGACCTGCGTGTGTCTGGACATCCAGCCCAATCGCTATCACAAAAGGCATTCAATTTAATCTCAGATGAAGCAGAAAAGAACAATCCTTGACCTGCAGTGCCTTTGATATAACGTAACACACGTTCAGCAGCTTGCATATGCAAATCAGTGGGACTGTGAGTGAACTGACTCAATTGGTGCACTGCATAAGCTAAATCAGGTCGTGTATTGCAGAGATAAAGCAATCTGCCTACTAAACGTTTGTAAACAGAAGGGTCTGAAAGTGTTTTACCAGAGGTGGCAGAGAGCTTTGTACCTGGAATGGAAGGAGAATCACAAGGTTCTGCACTAAGAAAACCATAATCAGTTAGTAAATCTAAGGCAAATTTCCTTTGATTTAATAGAATACCCTTTTCTGTCCTAGCAATCTCTAGTCCAAGAAAGAATTTCAATTCACCAAGATCTTTGATGGTGAAAGTTAGATCTAATTGGTGTTTGAGATCAGTGATAGCTTTGAGATCATTACCTGCCAAAATAATGTCATCAACATATACAAGAGCAATGGTAAAAGACTTGTCAAGGCTACGAACAAACATTGAATAATCTGCCTTAGACTGTTTGTAACCAGCAGCAGTTAAGAAGTTGGACAACTTAATATTCCATTGACGACTAGCCTGTTTTAACCCATATATAGATTTGTTAAGACGACAAACAGGATTTTTAAAACCAGGGGGTACATTCAAACCTGGGGGAATCTTCATGTAGACCTCTTCATCAAGGTCTCCATGAAGAAAAGCGGTATTAACATCAAGCTGATGCAAATGCCACTTGTTAATGGCAGCTAAAGATAAAACAAGACGCACAGTAGTGTGTTTAACAACTGGTGCAAAAGTTTCTAAGTAGTCTAAGCCAGGGGTTTGAGTGTATCCCTTAGCAACTAAACGAGACTTAAACCTTTCTATTTCACCATTTGAAAGAAATTTAACTTTGAAAACCCAAATGTTTCCTATGGCAATCTTCCCATCAGGTAACTCTACAATAGTCCATGTATTAGTTTTATCTAATGAAGCTAATTCAGAATTGCAAGCTTCTGACCATCTAGGATCCTTAATAGCTTCTTTGTAAGACCTAGGTTCTAGAATGGCAGAACTGGCCAGAATATACTTTTTGTATTCTGGGCTGAGATTATCAAAAGACATGACCTGAGATATAGGGTAAGTAACACCATTACATTCAACAGTACAAATATAGTCATTAAGCTTCTTAGGGCGCACCTTAACACGAGGAGGCCTCGCATATGGTGGAGGTTCTACTGCCTGAATTACGTCAACCAGATCAAGAGGCTCCTCAGGAAATGGTAAAGGTGCATCTAAAACAGTAGGAATTGGTGAAGAATGTGAAGGAGATGGTAAAGGAAAAGTAGTTGGGGTATGAGGAACCACTGTTTCTTGAACTTGAATGCAAGGAAAACAAAAATCAAAGTCAAGTGTGGAGTTAGAAGTAGCAAAAGGAAAAACATGTTCATGGAAAACAGTGTCGCGTGAATAAAATATGTTATGGGAAACGAGGTTATACAGCCTATACCCTTTAACAGTATTGATGAATCCTAAAAAAACACAAGGATCAGCCCTAGGGGCAAATTTGGATCTGTTATGTTGCAAGGTAGATGCAAATACTAAACAACCAAAGACCCTGAAATCATTATAGACTGGTTTGGTGTGAAAAAGTAGTTCAAAAGGAGACAAGTTTTGTAACAGAGGAGATGGCAGTCTATTAATCAAGAAAACCGAGTGAAGAACAGCAAAACCCCAAAACTTAATAGGTAAAGAGGCCTGAAACATAAGAGCACGAGCTACAGCTAATATATGTTGATGTTTCCTCTCAACACGACCATTTTGTTGAGAGGAAGCTACACAGGTTGTTTGATGTATAATCCCAAACTCACTGTAGAAAGAAGGAATGTTGAATTCTTGCCCATTGTCGGTTCTTATAGTTTTAATTTTAGAAGAAAATTGAGTGTTAACAAAATTTGGCAGATCTAACATGATTTGCCGAGCTTCACCCTTTGTTTTGAGTAAGTAAACCCACGTGTGTCGTGAAAAATCATCAACACAAGTGAGAAAATACCGAAAACCATCAATGGTAGGAACCTGATAGGGACCCCATATATCTAAATGAAGTAAGTCAAACGGATTCAGAGCATGAGATGTGCTAACAGGAAATGGGAGACGCTTTTGTTTAGCTAAAGGGCAAACAGTACAAGGAGTTTTATTACTACAAACAGAAGGTTTAACATCCTTGCCTAAGAACTGGGATAAAGGAATGGCAGTATGACCAAGCCTACAGTGCCAAACATCGAAAGGAACAAATTCAGTATTGAAACAAACATTACAAGTGGATAGTTGTGACTTAGGAAGTGAGATAGGCATGTTGAGATGATATAGGCCAGATTCTTGCTTAGCTGTACCAATCGTTTCGAGGGATGAAAGATCCTGAATTAAGCAAGAATCGGCAGTAAATTGTAGTGAACAATTTGAAGATTGAACTAGTTTAGATACTGATATGAGATTGAATGTAAAAGCAGGAATATACAAGACATCATATAAAGTCAGTTTAGGAGTAATGGCAATGTTTCCTATGTGTGTAACTTGTACTTTGACACCATTTGGTAAGGAAACAGACATGTTGTTTATGGTTTTATAGGTTTTAAACAAATGCAAGACAGAGACAACATGATCAGTGGCCCCGCTATCTACTATCCAATCCATAGACGATAAAATAGAGTTAATGGATGAGAGAATTGTACCAGTATCTTCTGTAGGGACAAGAGGAACCCCAACAGGTTGTGGGATGTACCCAGAATCAGCAGCCTGAGGACCGGAATCAGCAGTCTGAGGGATAATACCAGAATCAGCAGATGTATGAGGATGGACCTCTGGAGTAGATACAATCTGTCGAGCTGAGGTAACCATATTGGCTACTGGAGTTGCAGATAGGCGCTGAACTGACTGAAGCTGGGACTGACTGAGTAAGGACTGGTACTGAGCCTTGGTGAGAACCACTGAGTCATCAACCACCCCTCCAGCAGATGGATTAGGAGAATCAGAGTCAGCAACAGCAGCATTGACTCGGCGATGCTTATATCCAGGAGGATATCCATGGAGCTTGTAACATCGATCCACTGTGTGCCCGAAACCCTCACAATGAGTGCAATAGGGTCTCTTCTTACCCCCACCAGGACCTTGAGCAGAGGAACCTGGACCCTTGCCCTGACCAGAGAAATGCCCCTTCGAAGTACTATGAGCAGCAAGAGCAGTAGGGATTGATGAAGTAGTACCAGACTGCCGTTCATGTTGAGCTAAGCTGGAGAAAACTTTATTAATAGACGGCAAAGGATCATTCAACAATAGCTGAGACTTGATGTGAGCAAAGTTCTCATTCAGCCCTTTCAGAAATCGAATGACCTGGTCTCTACGCACATAATCACGTGGAATCGATGAAGCCAAGCAGGTACACTTAGGGTTGCAAGTACACACCGGAAGAGGTCTAAGAATCAGAAATTCTTCCCATAACACCCTAAATTTGGTAAAGTAAGCACTGATTGACAACGAACCCTGTTTGAGAGCAGCAATCTCATCGTAGATATCTGAGATACGAATCTCATTACCTTCACTGAAACGCTCTCGAAGATCCTCCCAGGCTTCCACAGCTGTGTTGAACCAGAGGATGCTCTGTGCAATCTCAGGTGAGACAGACCGCTGAATCCATCCAAGCACAAGAACATTGGCTTGATCCCAAGCACTCCAGAGTGGATCAGTCGGCGCTGGGACCGGAGAAGCAGAATCGATCAACGGGAGCTTATTCCTTGCATGCAATCCCATCCTCATCGATCGTGCCCAGCTGTGGTAGTTGGAACCAGAAAGAAGCACCGTGACGAGCTGCTGTGCCGAAAGATCGCCATTGGCGACAAAAAACGGATGAGCCGGCGACAACGAAGCGCCGATAGTCGCAGAACCACCAGCCATCGCGCTCACCGGAGGAACGCTACTACCGCCAGGAGGAGCACCGCCCGACGCAGTACCAGACGGCGGCGGACCAAACGTCGCGTTTACCGCAGAAAAAGACGCCATTGATGCGAGCTCTGAAACTGACGAAGAAAAAAAACGACTGAGCGAACTCAAGAATCGCGAACAGATCGGAGAATCGATCGAAGAATCGATCGTCACAGAGGAACGAATCGAAGAATCAACAGAGGAAGCGGAAACTGGATCGAATCGATCAAAGAAAGATCGAGAAGCAGAGGAAAGAGAAACGAACGAGTTGTTCAGTTCTCCTGGAACCCTCGAGAAACAAGAAAGGAAAAAAAAAATTGACTGATCAGTCAAAGAAAACAAGAAAGTGAAATTCACCCTCTGATACCATGTCGTTTAGGGAAGCCTTCAGGCGGATTTCATTAATTGGAAAATGAATTGTTACATTGTTCATTACAATATCACCTATATATATCAACTACAAATTACCTATACAGTACTCACAGTTTACATATTTACAATAACAGCTATAAACTAATTAATAACTACATCTAGGTCCTCGTCGTTTCCTCCTTGGACAACTAAACGTCTCATCGGCAAAAAATTCGACGACCCAGAAGTCCAGAAAGATCTGAAGTACCTACCCTACCCCGTCGTCGAAAGTGACGGAAGGCCGTGCGTGGAAATGGATGTCAACGGACAGCTGAAAACTTTCACACCGGAAGAACTCAGCGCCATGGTGCTGGTGAAAATGAAGGAAACGGCGGAAGCCTACCTTGGGAAGCAAGTAAAACACGCCGTGGTCACCGTCCCGGCCTACTTCAATGACCTCCAGAGGCAAGCCACCAAGGACGCCGGCACCATCGCTGGCCTCGATGTTTTGCGAATAATCAACGAGCCGACCGCAGGCGCCTTGGCTTACGGTCTGAACCAGGATTCGAGACGGAAGAGGAATATTTTGGTGTACGATTTAGGTGGCGGGACTTTCGACGTCAGCGTCTTGAATATTGACAAAGATGAGTTCCGGGTGCTGGCAACCGGAGGGGACACTCATCTCGGCGGTGGGGATTTCGATCAGAGGGTGATGAAGTATTTTGTGGACATGATCAAGAGGAAGTACAAGAAGGACGTTAGTAAAGACCGGAAGGCTCTTGGAAAGCTGCGGAGGGAATGCGAGAGAGCCAAAAGGGTAAATATTATATAGTTTTGTTTTGTCATATTATGGGGAGTGGGAACACCAACAAGCTATTCATATTCGATACAATGCTTATAGGTACTGAGCAGCCAAACACAAGTTAGGGTGGAGATTGATTCTTTCATACAAGGGATGGACTTCTCCGAGCCATTGACGAGGGCGAGGTTCGAGGATTTGAATTCGGATCTTTTTGAGAGAACATTGGAAGTGGTGAAATCGACAATGGAAGATGCAAATGTGGAGAAGGACGAGATTGATGAGATTGTGCTGGTTGGGGGGAGCACTAGAATCCCCAAGGTGACGGAGATGTTGAAGAAGGCCTTTAACGGAAAGGAACCTAGCAAAGGGATCAATCCTGATGAAGCGGTGGCTTATGGTGCTGCTGTCCAAGGAGCCATGCTTAGTAGCGACCAAGAAGGATTCGGTAATTTCACTCGCTGTTGATCTTTAATGTTTCACTGGTTAAGTACTACTTCAAAAGGCTGGCCTTGCCTAGTTGCCATATATTGTGATATCCGTGTTTCTGTCTTTGCATGTACATGTAGTCAAAAGCGAGTTTCTATGTAGAAACGTTTAGGTGATCTAGAAGCGCGTAAAATCGTAAGTTTTTAAGTTTTAAAGCGGAGTTTTTAACTACATGAGTTATAAAAACTGAGATTTTGTGTAGAAGCGTTTTAGTGACATAGAAACGTAAAATTGTAAGTTATTTAGTTTTAAAGCGCGATTTTGACTACATTGCATGCTTGTTTAGTTGCACTTGCAGTCATTTCGTCGATTTATATTTGTTTGCATGCACAAGGATTCACAATGCCACATGTGGACTGTTGGAGTTTGTAGGTGTTGTTTTAGTCGACGTCACTCCCTTGAGTTTAGGGGTCCAGGCCCTCGGTGGTCTGATGTCCGTGGTCATGCCAAGAAACACCGTCATTCCTAGAAAAATCACAAGGGGTAGGTATACAACCTTTGCCGACCAGCAAACTTCTATGTTTATCCAGGTTAGCTACATCAAATGTCAACGTATATATGAACAGTGGTTGATCCTTTTTCAGAGTTTTTTTTTTTTGAATTCGATGTATCTGCTAAGTTAATTTTAATATCAGGTGTTCCAAGGTGAAAGGCCCCTCACCATGGATTGCATTCACCTCGGAAGTTTTGTCTTAGGAGACATTGCCCCTGCTCCAAGGTATGTATATAAATATATGTCGCATGTGATTCTAATTAATGATGTAATCAAATGCAGTACAACTTGAAGTAGTTACGGAAATACCATGCATGCACCTACGTACAGGGGTGTACCGTCTGTGGAGGTGACATTCGAGGTTGATGCGGATGGAATCTTAACCGTCACGGCCAAGGATACAGCATCAAAGAATTCGGGATCCCTCACCATCAGCAGCAGTAAACGGAATCTGAGTCAAAGTGAGGTGGAGAGGATGACGACAGAAGCGATTGAGATGGCCGAGCATGACAAGAAGGAGAAAGCACGGATCGATGCGAGGAACTGCTTGGAGAAGCATATCTATGACCTGAACAAGGCAATTGATGAGAAGCTTAATGTTTGTGATAAGGCCGAGGCGAAGACTGCTCTGACAGAAGCTTCAGAGTGGCTTGATGATAACCAGGATGCATGGGAGGAGGATTACGAGGATAGAATCCAGGTGTTGAGAGATTTATGGGCTCGTACTTGGTAGCCGGTAATATGTGGCAATGGATTTGGTGGTAATGGTTTTTCATTAGGTTGTGGAAGGAGTTCATCCTCTCACTTTTATCTACGATATCATATGATTGGGGGGGGGGGGGGGGGCGGGATTTTTCTGCGGTAATTTGAACTATTGAAGCCTTTTTGTGTCATCGTATGCTTATGGATACACATTGATATTATTTTGTTGATCACAGTGAAGTAGTTTTCTTTGTGAAAAATTAAAATTCTAGTTAAAATAAATAAGATTTTGTTGAAGCTTGAATTCAAACCAATGCTGGTGTGGCGCGAAGGCTGAAGTAGCGCGAAGATCGTTTCAATCTAATAAAGACCGTTTTGGTCAAATGTCTTGTTTAGTCCTTTCTGTTGTGTAAAGTGTCAGTCAGGTCCAGTTGTTAGTGGTAGCTAGAAACAGGGGTTAGTTTATTAGTTGCTGGGTTTCAGGAGTCGTGGGATTGAGGGTTTGTTGCTCAATGCCGAGTCTAGCGGCTGAGCTAGAGGGTATTTATTGTTTTCTCTGCTTAATCAATAAATCGTCAGTTTGCATCCAAGATTAAGCTCTCACATTGTGGTATCAGAGCCATCTTGCATACTGTAACCAATCGCACTGAGAGTTGAGAGAAATAGCAATTGACTTCTGGGTTTGGGAAACACGAGAGTTCTTGTGAGAAATCTAATTCTGGGTTGAGAGATCGGCATCATGAGTGAAAACAGCAGCTTCGCCCAGGTCTGTATCCCTAAGTTCGATAGGGATTACGAGCACTGGAGTTTGTTGATGGAGAATCTGCTGTGGTCAAAAGAGTATTGGCCTGTTGTGAATGAAGGGTTCAGAGAGCCTGCATCAGGGGAGGAGCTCACACCTGCACAGCAGAAAATCTTGGAGGATAATCGTCTGAAGGATCTCAAGGCGAAGAATTACTTGTTCAGTTCTATTGACAAGAGTATCCTCAAGACAGCCTCTAAGGATCTGTGGACTTCTATGAAGACCAAATGTCAAGGAAGTGCAAGGGTTCAAAAGTCTCAACTGCAGGCACTCAGAAGGAACTTTGAGTTATTGGAAATGAAGGAAGGTGAGTCTGTCAATGACTATTTTGGTCGAGTTATGGTTGTTGCAAATGCTATGAGAAATTGCGGAGAAGAAATGACAGATGTTAAGATTGTGGAGAAAGTGTTAAGAACTTTAACAGAAAAGTTCAATTACATTGTGTGTTCGATTGAGGAATCTAAGGACATTGAGGAGCTGTCTGTGGATGCTTTGCAAAGCTCTCTGTTAGTACATGAGCAGAAGTTTTCAAAGCATGTCCTAGAAGAAGAACAGGCTCTAAAGATCACTCATGATCTTGAAGGAAGAGGTTATAGAGGAAGAGGTGGCTTTCAAGCCAGAGGAAGAGGAAGAGGAAGGGGAGGCAGGACTTGGAATCGTGATCAGGTAGAGTGCTACAAATGTCACAGGTTTGGCCATTACAGGAATGAGTGTCCTGAATGGTACAATCAGCAAGCACACTACTCGCACTACTCAAATTCCAACACTGTCAACCCTCCTGCACATCCAAATATGAAAGAGGATGTTCTGTTGATGGCTATTGTTGAACAAGAGGAATTGGTGGAAGAAAATCAGTGTTTGATGGCACTGATGGAGGCTAGTCAAATAGAGCAGGCTGAAAAATGGTGGTTTCTGGATTCGGGTTGTAGCAATCATATGAGTGGCAGTAAGCAATGGTTCACCAGCATGGATGCAAGCTTTAAATGTAATGTGAAGCTGGGAAATGGAAACAGACTTGCTATTGAAGGAAAAGGAACTGTGAAGATGCTGGTGGATGGGGTTTCTCTGTGCATAAGAGATGTGTTTTATGTTCCTGGGCTAAAAACAAATCTACTGAGCATTGGTCAACTTCAAGAAAGAAACTTAACCTTCATAATCAAGAATGGAGTTTGCCAAATTCTGAAAGAAGGAAAAGAGCTGCTGCTGCAGACAAACATGAAAACTAATAGAATGTTTATTCTGCATGCTACTCAGGAAAGTGAGGATCAAAATCTGCAGTGTCACAAAGTCACAAGCAATGCAACACCTTTGAACTTATGGCATCGAAGATTTGGTCACTTAAACATTAAAGGGCTGCTGAAAATTCAAAAGAAGGGTCTTGTGCAAGGCCTGCCAAAGCTGCAAGGAGACTTAGGCATCTGCTCTACCTGTCAGATTGGCAAGTCTCACAGACAAAGTTTTCCAAGGAAGATTGGATGGAGAGCAACTCAGAGGTTGCAATTACTTCATGCAGATCTGTGTGGCCCAATTACTCCCACATCAAATGGAGGAAAAATGTATATTCTGACCATCACAGATGATTACAGTAGGAAGTTATGGGTGTATTTTCTTGCTGCCAAGTCTGAATCATTGAGTGTGTTTAAGAAGTTTAAAGCACAGATTGAGAAAGAAACTGGTAATTCTATTATCTGTCTTAGAACTGATAGAGGAGGGGAGTTTATGTTGAATGAATTTAAAGCTGTTTGTGAAGAAGCTGGCATCAGGAGACAGCTTACAGCTGCTCTTACTCCCCAGCAGAATGGGGTTGCAGAGAGGAAGAATAGGACGATCATGAACATGGTCAGATGTTCATTGGAAGATACTAAAGTACCAGCTTTGTTCTGGCTAGAAGCTGTGGCTTGGACTACTCATGTTCTTAACAGGAGTCCAACCTCAGCTAACAAAGGAAAAACCCCTCAAGAGCTGTGGACTGGATCACCTCCATCTGTGGATCATTTCAGAATCTTTGGTTGTGTTGGATACGTTCATATCCATGATCAACAAAGAAGGAAGTTGGATGCCAAAAGTGAAAGATGCAATTTCCTGGGGGTCTCTACTGAATCAAAAGCATATAAGATGTACAATCCTCTAACAAAAAAGGTGTTGATAAGCAGGGACGTTGTTTGATGAGGCTGAAGGGTGGACTTGGAAATCTGATATGCAATCAGATATGACAAGAGTGAGCTGGGAAGGATCAGATGAATCATGGGATGATTCTGACTCAGAAAATGAAGAAGAATCTGCTACTGAAGCAGATTTGTCTACTCCATCCAGTCCTGTAATACCTTCCAGCCCTGCAATGGCTTCTGCAGCTTCCAGCAATGATGAAGAAGGAGCAGATACAGCAGGTCCTTCTATTCTGGGACCAAGAGTTAGGCAACCGCCAGGTCACCTGTCCATTTATGATTGTACTTATTTTGCAGAAACTGATCAATGGGCTATGGTAGCAGTGAATGGTGATCCTCATACTTATGAAGAGGCAATCATTGATGAGAAATGGCTGGAAGCAATGCAGGTTGAGTTTGCAGCTATTGGAAAGAACAATACTTGGGTTTTGGTTGATCTGCCAGAAGGAGTTATTCCTATTGGTGTTAAATGGGTTTACAGAACCAAACTCAAGGAAGATGGCTCAGTTGAAAGGTATAAGGCACGACTGGTAGTCAAAGGGTATGCTCAAAAGTTTGGAATTGACTACACAGAGGTTTTTGCACCTGTTGCAAGGTGGGATACCATCAGGACACTCTTAGCTCTAGTTGCCTATCATGGCTTTCCAGTATATCAGCTTGATGTTAAGAGTGCTTTCCTGCATGGTGAGTTGTTTGAGGACATCTATGTTGAGCAACCTCAAGGGTTTGAGGTTGCTGGGGAGGAAAGAAAGGTTTACAAGTTAAGGAAAGCACTGTATGGGCTGAAGCAGGCTCCCAGAGCTTGGTACAGCAAGATTGAGGCCTATTTCTTGCAATCTGGCTTCGAGAGGTGTGAGTATGAACACACCCTGTTCATCAAAAGGTCAGGTACTGATATTTTAATTGTAAGTCTCTATGTGGATGACCTTATGTATACAAGTAGTAGTCCTGACATGATTGAGGCTTTCAAGCAAAGTATGCAGTCTGAGTTTGAGATGACTGATCTTGGGAGGATGAAGTACTTTCTTGGTGTTGAAGTCACTCAAACTCAGCAAGGGATCTTCATCAATCAGCAGAAGTATGTGAGAGAGATACTTGAGAAGTTCAACTTGCTGGAATGTAATTTTTCTCACAATCCAATGGTGCCTGGAGTAAAATTGTCTAAGGCTGGTGATGGGGTTCCAGTTAATGCTACTGAGTATAAGCAGCTTATTGGAAGCCTGCTTTATGCTACAGCAACTCGTCCAGATCTGATGTATTCAGTATGTTTGCTTAGTAGGTTTATGGAAACTCCAACTAGACAACACATGCTTGCTGCCAAAAGAGTTTTAAGGTATCTAAAAGGCACTATGGGATATGGAATCTGGTATCAAAAGAAGCATGAAGAAGGTGGATTACTGGGGTTTACAGACTCAGATTATGCAGGTGATGTTGACGATAGGAAGAGCACTAGCGGATATGTCTTCTTCCTTGCTGGTGGAGCTGTTTCCTGGCCCTCCAAGAAGCAGCCAGTGGTCACACTGTCGACTACAGAGGCTGAGTTTGTTGCAGCTGCTTATTGTGCAGCCCAATGCGTGTGGTTAAGGAGAATCTTAGAGCAAATGAATTGGGGCAGCAGTGTGGAAGGAGCAACCAGGGTGATGTGTGATAACAATTCAGCTATCAAGCTATCTAAAAACCCAGTTCTGCATGGTAGGAGTAAACATATCGATGTCATGTTTCACTTCCTAAGGAATCTAGTGAAGGATCAAGTTCTGGAGTTGAAGCATTGTGGCACAAGTGAGCAGATAGCTGATGTGATGACAAAGGCTTTGAAACTTGAAGCATTTCAGCTGCTAAGATCTCAGCTTGGTATGTGTGATGTAACTGAAGTGAAGATGAAGAATTATGAACTGAAGGCTGTTGAGGAACTTCAGTTCAGGGGAGGATGTTAAAGCTTGAATTCAAACCAATGCTGGTGTGGCGCGAAGGCTGAAGTAGCGCGAAGATCGTTTCAATTTAATAAAGACCGTTTTGGTCAAATGTCTTGTTTAGTCCTTTCTGTTGTGTAAAGTGTCAGTCAGGTCCAGTTGTTAGTGGTAGCTAGAAACAGGGGTTAGTTTATTAGTTGCTGGGTTTCAGGAGTCGTGGGATTGAGGGTTTGTTGCTCAATGCCGAGTCTAGCGGCTGAGCTAGAGGGTATTTATTGTTTTCTCTGCTTAATCAATAAATCGTCAGTTTGCATCCAAGATTAAGCTCTCACAGATTTAAGTCAATCTAAAATAATAGAGAAAATTTAAAAAAAATTGGACTCAATAATTAAATCGAACCAGATCAAAATCGGAAGTTCAAACCTAACTGTATGCATAACTGATTAAATGTACAACAAAAATTATGCACCCTACGTCCCTACCTAGTACCTACAGGCGTTGGACCTACAGTTAGGAACGACTAACGAGCGCTGTCTAAATGGGCCCGAAAAGGATATGAACGAAAGCGTTAAACAGTTGGACTTGGGCCACAAATAGATCAAGCCTTGGACCTACAAGCAGCTCGGTACCTAGCGAACCTCTACCAAGTCAATGTTGACTTGAGGAATCCAACCACGTACATACACTTGGACTTTCATTTAGGACGGATTGGAAACCCGAAAAGAGGTTTGATTTCTGCCCATCTAAGACTAATTCCAACTTTGGAGTCCAAAATGGGAAAATTCGTATTTGAAACAAATTGGATCTTCAATCCACTATCAAAAGGGTTGTCAATAGGGATGGCAATTTACCCACCCATGGGTAATTTTGCCCAAACCCAAGTAGACCCATTTATTATGGGTAGGGTTTGGGTGATGTGTGTATGGGTTTGGGTTAGATATGGATATTATCTAAATGGGTATGGGTTGGATATGGATATCCATTTACTTGAGAGTGTTTTAACTACACATGCAAAAATTGGACTTATTTGTAAAACTTGAAAATTTTAGGTACCAAAATGTAAGACCAAAAAAATTTAGGTACCAAAACGTAATTTTCCATCGATATTTTGAGGACTTATATGCAAAAAAAATTAAATTTAGGTACTAAATATGCATATCTATTAAGTTTAGGTACCAAACTGTAATTTGTATTTGGGCATAGGTACAAACCCAAATCCAACCCAAAGTAAATGGGTATGGGTACAAACCCATCAAACTTTACCCACATCCATATATTTGGATTTCATACCCAACCCAATTGGGTTGGATAGTAAAATACCCATGGGTATGGGCAAAATTGCCATCCCTAGTTGTCAAATTAGGAGGGGCTGAAAATTTGTGGGAATTTGAGAGGAATGTTGGGTTAGTTCTTAATTTTAGAGGGGTGTTGACTATTCAAGGGATGGTCGTCGCTTTATCAGTTGTATTTTTTTTTATATAATTCAAGATTTATGTACATTTGAAGTAAATCCCACGTCATATATAAAAAAAAGAATTTAAATCCCGGCCTCATCAACAAAAGTATGAGAGATTCATGGTAAGTAATAATCCAATCTTAATTGTCAATACGTGATTTGAGATGAAATGGAGGACTTATTGTAAGAATTCTAAAGCAAAATATTGTTCAATATGACCCAGTGCAAGAATGGGAGAACCTCTAGGGTTGTTACTACGATATGCATTTACAAGCAAAATCGTGCAAGAGTAGACCTAAAGCAGACAAAATTTTGAATGATGAAAAGGGTTGGATTGTTACAAATGGTATCAAAACCACTAATGCATCCCTCCTTAATGATGGTGGGACAAACAAATGAGAACGTCGAGACGACTCCCAATGTGGGATGTATGTAACAACTAATTAGAAAAGTCCCACATCGACAAATCATAGGGGAAAAAATCATTGTTGTGAGATTGTGGGTCATATTTAAATTCACTTGCTTAATTCTGATTGGATAAATTTTTGCTTAAAACTCTATTCAACCCAATGCTTCAAAATTATCTGGGGTGGTGGGGTGCTGGGGGGAGTTAAACTGCAAGGGCGCCAATCAATAGAAGGGAATATAAGTAGATGTGGCAAATGGATTGATCCATGGATTGGTGGATTCATGAATTGGATCAAGTGGATTGGTGGATTATCTATGAATCCAAATGACATCCTCAACCAAGAACCAATATGTAAAATGTGAAAAGTTTAGATATTAAAATGTCATAATAAAAAATTTTAGGTACCAAAACGTAATTTTCCAATGATATTTTTAATATAAAAATTAAATTTTGGGTACCAAATGTAAAATGTAAAATATAAAAAATATAGATATCAAACCGTAATTTGTCATTTGGATCAAATGGATTGGATTTAAATGGATTGAATTAGGTGGATATTTTTAATTGGTTGGTGGATTGGATTGAGAATTGTCACCTCTAAATAGAAGGATTAGGACTTAATTAGAGACAGAAACTATATGAGCATACTTTAAAAAACCTAGCCGCCCTCCTACGTAAACCCTAAAATAAACCTACTTCCTGTATTCATGTTGTAGACCTAGAAATAGTATAATTCCCGGTCTCAAGATCCGTTGCTCTACAACACATCTCCGCATCAACTTCCATCTCCACCCAGGGGCGGAACTAAGAAGGGGCAGGATGTGTCGTCCGGCACACTCTCGCTCGAGCATTTTATGAAGGACCTACATATTTTTTGTACAAATTTTTTTACTTCGGGATAGCCGACACACCTTCAATAATTATAGCCGACACACCTTCATTATACTCGAAGAAATTATTATCCAAATGAATCAATCTTAATCATAATCCTTTTTAGTTTTGTTTAAAATAACTCATAAAACATAATCCTATCCTTTTTATTAAAAAAACACTCTTAGCCCATACAATATGAAGATAATCAAGAACGATCTTCGAAATCGGTTGAGTAACCAATTTATGAATGATTGTTTAGTTGTATATATTGAAAAAGATTTGCTTTGTAGCATAAGTAATAAATGTATTTTAGAGACATTTCAGCAGATGAATAGTCGTCGCGGGTTCGTTGTAAATATGACATTGTGAACTTTATGAATTAATTTCTTTTAATTTTAATTTAATTTTTAATTTAATTTAATTATTATTGTATTTTATCGGCGATACACCTCTTCGACAATCCTGAGTCCGCCACTGTCTCCACCGATCAAACACACAATGGGTGACGCAAAGATAACCGGTGAAGTGATCGGAATCGACCTAGGCACGACCTTCTCCTGCGTCGCCGTCGCCCGAAAGGGCCGATCCGTCGAGATCATAGCCAACGACCAAGGCAACCGGACCACCCCTTCCGCCGTCGCCTTCTCCCCCGACGCCGCCGGTTTCGAGCGCCTCCTCGGCGAAGCCGCCAAAAACCAGGCCACCCTCAACCCCCGCCGCACCATCTTCGACGTCAAACGACTCATCGGCAAAAAAATTCGACGACCCAGAAGTCCAAAACGACCTCAAATACCTGCCCTACCCCATCGTCGAAAGAGACGGAAGGCCGTGCGTCGAAGTGGAAGTTAACGGCGAGCAGAAGAAAACCTTCACACCGGAAGAGATAAGCGCCATGGTGCTGGGTAAAATGAAGGAGACCGCGGAAGCCTACCTTGGGAAGCAAGTAACCAACGCCGTCGTCACCGTCCCGGCCTACTTCAACGACTCACAAAGGCAAGCCACCAAGGACGCCGGCACCATCGCCGGGCTCAACGTCGTGCGCATAATCAACGAGCCCACGGCCGGCGCCCTGGCATACGGCGTGAACCAGGATTCGAAGAGGAAGAGGACCATTCTGGTGTTCGATTTGGGCGGCGGGACGTTCGACGTCAGCGTTTTGAACATCGACAAGGGTGAGTTCCGGGTGCTGGCCACCGGCGGTGGGGATTTCGACCAGAGGGTGATGAAGTATTTCGTCGATTTGATCGAGCGGAAGTACAATAAGGACGTTACTCAAGACCCCAAGGCTATTGGGAAGCTGCGCAGAGAATGCGAGAGAGCCAAAAGGGTACGTACGTATAAAAAAATTTGAATTTAGGGCTCGGATATCGGTTTCTGTATTGTATCGAAAAATCGATAAGAAATTGAAATCGAAAAACATTATAGTTTTTTTCGGTTTGTAATAACTGAAATAGAAGTCGTTAAAGGGTTATCTGTTTTACTCATACACTTAGGTGTGACACTCATGTATGTATGCTCATTTACTAGTAGGTACTGAGCAGTCAGACACAAGCTAGAGTAGAGATTGATTGCTTCATAGACGGGATGGATTTCTCCGAGCCACTGTCGAGGGCGAGGTTCGAGGATTTGAATTCGGATCTGTTCGAGAAGACAATGGAGGTGGTGAGGTCGACGCTTAAAGATGCAAAGGTGGAGAATAAGGAACAGATCGACGAGATAGTGTTGGTTGGAGGAAGCACGAGAATCCCCATGGTGAGGGAGATGTTGAAGAAGGAGTTCGACGGGAAGGAGCCGAGCGAAGGGATCAACCCCGACGAGGCCGTGGCTTATGGTGCTGCCGTCCAAGGAGCCATGCTCAGTACGGACCAAGACGAACTCGGTACGTATTTTAATGAACATTATTTCTAGGGCAGTAATTAATCCACATATATATATATATATATATGGAGTTTGAAATTTTTGGTGGTGTGCTACTTGAATTAATATGTTAGGTCTCGTTTTATATGACGTCACTCCCTTGAGTTTGGGGATCAGTAGCCAGGGTGGTGTGATGTCTGTGGTGGTGCCGAGAAACACAGTCATTCCTGCAAAGAGATCAATTGGCAGGCACATTACTGTTGGAGACCAACAAACTTCTTTTAATGTCGAGGTTCGATTTGGTTCATGTCGCGCGGTTTGAATCGATTTCGGTTTATCTATAATACAGATCTAACCATACAGGGTTTGTATCTCATCACTATCTCATCAGGTGTATCAAGGTGAAAGGCCCCTGGTCAAAGATTGCCTCTGGCTCGGAAGGTTTAGTCTGGACGGTATTGCCCCGGCGCCAAGGTACGTCTAATTAAATCTTTGATCGAGTCTCTAATAACAATCATTAGTGGTAAAATTAGAGTACTAAGCCTAATAGCATTCGCACACAGGGGAGTTGCGGCAATGAAGGTGACGATGGAGGTAGATGCGGATGGAATCTTGAGCGTGACGGCCAAGGACGAAGCAAGCGAAAACAATTCGAAATCCATCGCAATCAAGGGCTACAAACGGAAGCTGAGTGAAGTGGAGGTGGAGAGGATGGTAAGAGATGCAAAGGAGATGGCTGAGCACGACAAGATGGCGAAGGCACGCGTGGATTCGAGGAATCGCTTGGAGAGGTACATGTATGATCTGAAGAAGGATGTGTCTGAGAAGGTTAATTATCTCTTTAAAAGAACAAGTTACAACTTTACTGTTTGGTAGAGTCACATCCCGCCACTGTTACTTTTTTGCTTTTTCCTGGTTCTCATCATTTCTCAATTGACTTTACTTGTTTTGCTTTTTCTGACCAAAGGGAGACTTTTTATTACTTATCCCTTCTTTCTTCCTCATGTCTAATCCCCCATTCCTCTCCATCTTTCTAGATCTGCTTTCTCTCTCCTTCTCTCTTTTGTGCTGAACGACGAAGAAGAAGCAAGGTGAAGAAGAAGAAAAGGAAGATCGAGATATGGGTGAAGCAGAACATGGAGGAGATCACAGAAGAATCCGGCGAAATAGAGCACCAACCGGAACTCACAGATTATCCATCAAGATAAAGTCGGTTCCTTTCTTCTAGATTTTTCTGGGTTTTTGTTCAATATCGTTCTTGGAGTTCTTCCTGCTTTCTGTTTTTGCTTCTGATTCTTGTTTTTTGTGATAAAGTCGGTTCCTTTCTTCTAGGTTTTTCTGGGTTTTTGCTTCTGATTCTTGTCGTACCCCATCGCGGCCGTCGGGAACCACCTCTGCAGCTTCGCCTCGCTGAAATGGGTACCCTCTTTACTCTGACCTAGCCTTTTCCTTCCCCTTCTCACCGAGGCGCTGCTCGCTGCCGTTTCCCTCTAAAACTCGCCGACTGAAGTCCACCTTCGAAGCTTGGCGGCTGAATCACAGGTAATCCTCTAATCCCAACTTACTCATTATCTTCAGCTTGGGGAGATCCATCCCTTATTCTTCTGTTTATCCATCTCTGGTTGCTGGTCCGGTGGGCGAGGCAAGGAAATAACAGCTTTTGGATCTTCTTCTTCCGTTTATGGGTTTGTCTCTAGCGCTGGCTATTGAAATCGTAACTTGGCCTGGGTTTTCAAGACAGACATTCAAATCACTTGGTGGGTTTGTGAAGCTCTCCCTTGCCTCTGCCATTATGTTGCGGTAACAAGGAATTCATTAGTTTGTTTATGTAGTTTTGGAGTTCATTGACGTGAGCTTCTTGGATCTATCTATAGTAGGGAATTGTGTTTCTTAGTGCAATGTTCCCTTGCTAGGTCCTGCTGCCCTCATTGTTAACTAAGAATTGCGTGCATTTTCCTATCGAATTGATGGTGGTCTGCAGTTTGTATTTGCTCTGTACAATGTAAACACATGGACCCTAAGAGAAGGTATTAACTATACTTTGTTTCACTTGTGCTAGATTGGCTGCAATTGAAGAGATATGCGATTAATATGACTGCTAGAATGCAAATAAGGAATGCTAAGGACCTAGAAAGCGTTGTTCTGTGAGTCAATCCTGCTAGGTTGGTATATTACATAAAGTAAGCTTTCATGAACTTGTGCTTATCGCTGCTTCCTCTAACATTTCTATTCTCCATTTCTATCCTTCTCAAACTAAAAGGAGGTTGGCCTCTGTTTCATTGATTGATGGGGAAAGATGAGAGGATGGGATGGCTATGGTAGCTCATTTGAGATAATTTGAAAAATGGAGGGAAGCAGGACTTACTTTCTAGGTAAACTTTTCCTTTTCCTTTCTCGGTTTCGGTAATGTTGTTCATGTGCGGCTTCAGTCTTCTTTATTTCATGGATTTTCAGGTCTAGCCTTTTTTTAATTATCTTTGCATACTTTCAGGATTTGGTTCATTATTTGGTTGGCAGGGGAAGAGGAGAGGGCCAGTTTAACAGAGGAGAAAGAAGGCACAGCCAGGTAACTTACTTTTTGGAGGTTCATTGTTTAATAGATAAATGAGGTTCTCTGGACATTGCTTTGTTCCATGACTAATTCGCTTTTACCTTGATTTCCAGAACTTTGGACACTTACATAGCAGTATATCATCCCAACCATCAAACAACTCCACAACGGGTATGTTGCTGAAATATATGTTGTTATCATCTATGGTAAAAAGCATAATGGTTCTTTGTTTTGGCTACAAATCTCTACTTTTGTTTGCTTTGGTTGGCCATAACTCTAATTTCCATTCTTTCTTCATCCCGATCAATTCAGAGAATTCATGTTGCGAATGAAGAATCTCCTCTCTTTCTTTCTCCGAGTTCGTTTCGCCTAGAACTCCCCTTTCTCTGTCTATGTTCTGCACCCTGTAGAGATGGAGTCACTAAGGGATGGAGAGAAACAAAAAGGTGTTGATGAAATGGAACATGATCTCAAAGATCTCTAGGTTGTTTACTGCCGTTTATTTATTTGCCATCTTTGTCTTTGAGTGGTCGAAGTTTTGCTCTTTAGAACTTCTCATTTTCATGACATTTGTGCTCCCTAGGAACACGCTCCTCTCGGTTGGTGGTGTTAAAAGCTTTATATAATGAGAGGATAACAGTGTTGGAGCAGTTGTTTCATTACAGGCTGATTGGTCCTTGCATTTTAGGTCCGATTACTATATTATGTTATCGAATTCATTGACTTAAGAGTTTTTCCTTGACGAAACTGTTTTTCTGATAGACTCATTGAAAAAGGTAACAAAATTGAACCAGGGAGACGGGCTGTGGATTCCTGGAGTTGGTCAGTTGGAACTGCCATCAAAGGATTAGTGCAGTATAGGAATTGCTCCAGTCAAGGAAGCCTTCTCCTCGGTGAGTCCTTTAATAGTGACAACATTGTGGATTTAATTATGATTCTTGTGTCAATTTAACTCCATGCCTGATGAACCAGGTTGTAATCCACCTTTGGAGATACATAGTGACCACGAAAAGCAAGTGTGGTTCTTGCTACTGGTTCCAGTTGTCAGGTTAGTTTCGGTTTATATGTTCTTAGACAAGTCGTCTCCGAGTATCTTCTAAAAGGGATAGAAACAATAGAAGCTATCTCACTTTGTAATCTGGTTTGAAAGCGGACTATGCAGACTTTTACTTTTTACAAATTGCATTGTATGATCTGATCCTTTTTTTTACTCATGAGTCATGGCTTCAGTCTCATTGCAGTTGCCTCTCAGGAACATGATCCGAAGGAGATGGGCATAGGTAATGAGAAATAGGCAAGGAGACTGCAGTATCATCCAGTGGAGAACAAAATGATAGGAACACCGAGGAGTTACTAAGAGCAGGTGCATCATTTTCCTATTTGGTTTGCTTAGTCTATTTCCAAAATTCTGGATCATTAATGATAAGATTCTTTGTGAACCAGCTTTAGTTGTGGTCAACTAATTATTTTTATTGGTGGTCAGGGGTGTGGGAGAGTGTATACAGAATAGAAGATTACCTCTTTATCAGTTTTTTAAACATGAAAGGACCATAAACAATCCAAAGAAGAGCTTCTGCAGAATATAATGGTAGGTGTTGAACTTCGCTGGTTTATTGATTGTTTGCAGTGCTTTCGTTCTGTGTATGCCTCTTTCGACCAGTAGTTACGCTCTGTTGACTCCATCACTCATGCAAAAATCCTTTTCCTTTCAGGAGGGAAGAGCAATCGTTTGAACAATGAAGGACAGCGAGGTTCTGTTTTATTCCCAGCTGTCACCGTACATATCTCACCGTTTCAAGAGGGAAGCGCAATTGTTGATTCAATAATAAGGACCATAGCAATGTTAGTCTTCTCTGCTCATTCTGTATGCCACCCATCCATAATTTGGTCCTTGCAGGTCAACACTTCCACTCCTTTTTGCCTCACAGATTCTATGTTGGGATTTACAGATTTTGCTTCTTAACTTAAGTTCAGTACTAATGCTCTATCGTTGCTTTCAGTTCCGGAAATAGGGATATGTTCTGCGAGATCGGGTAAGAGCAATGCAGCTGAAAGTTTCAAAGCAAAGATATTTTTATCAGTGGATGTATGGATCACTATTGGGGAAAAGGTACAGCCTGGTGGGAACGATTGCTGTATGTGGGAACTTTCAGCCAATGTATAACTCTGAAGAAACCAAAAAAGGTAACGATCTCTTCCTCTTCGCTAACTTCCAGTTGATTGATCTAGCGAGGTGATGCATAATGAATAAACTGTTTTGTTTGGAATTTGCTCAAACAATCAAAATGGTTAAGTATTATCTTATATCTACTTATGCCATTACTCTCTTTAGATTTCATTACAAGGCAACAAACTATTCCTTTTCTCTGACTTTTGGTGTCGCTTCATCTAGCTAGCTAACACATAATGAATGTCACTGTGTTTGCTCTGGTTTATTTCTAATCCGGTTAGAGGAGGCTCGCATGCTATGCTTTTGCATCATGCTCCTTTGACACTGTTCGACTTGAAATTCGTGTTTCCCTTTCCTGTGATATGTTGCTCATTCTATATTTTTGCTTACAATTACGTTGCTTTTCTCCAAATGAAACATTGACATATACGAGCTCAAACAGGTTGCTAAAACAAATGCCGATAACCTATGTATATTGCAGGCAACTTATGGTTGCCGCACTATGGTACAGAGAGCTACACAATTAGGACTTGGTTTCTTTCTCCAAAATTTTTTTTCATTAAAGGCACACCATGACAATGTATATTCTTTTCAGTATGCTATCTGTAATCTTTGTTTCCATCTCACAGTACACACATCAATGTTAGGTTATGCTGAATGTTAAGTTCAGTCGGGTTTGTGAATTTGTTTTATTTTTACTTCATATTAGCTGGTTCCGTCTGTCTGCATAGGATCTCTCTGTGTGGTTGGTTTAATCCTTACTTGAATCCTACTGCCACATGTGAGAGCTGAGCTTGGGGTTTGATGGGAAGGACGATTAGAAGAGTACACCAAGATCCTTAACTCTCTTAAAATCAGTGGGAGAGGTTAAGTCAGCAGCTGAATTGCTTCACAATCTTGGTTTGCTCTGTTTTGGTTTCAGCTGGTGATATGAGAATACTGAACTGAGATATTTGTGTCGGAGTGGTATGCCTCCTTTTTGTATGACCTGGGGTAACCTTTTAGTTTATTCGTTAGTGACCTGTAGTCGCAATGATTATACTAGCCCCTGTACTGCTAAATTTAGAAGTACCATCTGTTTTGGTTCTCGAATACTTAGGTTTGTTAATGTTGAAAATCTGCATTTTGTGTGTCTAGATGATGCCTTGGTCATTT